AAAAACCTTTCAGGGGATTGTTTGCAACAGTTTGGCACCATTTTTGAGTGAATTCCAGAACGTCAGATTTTTGCTGAAATTGTGACCGCGCTGCTTAGGGATTTTTTTAAAAAAAAGTTGTTCAGACGTCGAGGGCTAATTCTGTTTTCGATGATAAAAACCCATCTCTTTCCACCAAAAAACCTTTCAGGGGATTGTTTGCAACAGTTTGGCACCATTTTTGAGTGAATTCCAGAACGTCAGATTTTTGCTGAAATTGTGACCGCGCGGCTTAGGGATTTTTTCAGAAAAAGTTGTACAGACGTCGAGGGCTAATTCTGTTTTCGATGAGAAAACACACCAGTTTCCACCAAAAAGCTTTCAGGGATCTTTTGCAACAGTTTGGCACCATTTTTGAGTGAATTCCAGAACTTCAGATTGTTGCTGAAATTGTGACCGCGCGGCTTAGGGATTTTTTCAGAAAAAGTTGTTCAGACGTCGAGGGCTAATTCTGTTTCCGATAATAAAAACCCATCTGTTTCCACCCAAAAGCTTTCAGGGATTGTTTGCAACAGTTTGGCACCATTTTTGAGTGAATTCCAGAACGTCAGATTTTTGCTGAAATTGTGACCGCGCGGTTTAGGGATTTTTTCAAAAAAAGTTGTTCAGACGTCTAGAGCTAATTCTGTTTTCGATGATAAAAACCCATCTGTTTCCACGGAAAAACCTTTCAGGGGATTGTTTGCAACAGTTTGGCACCATTTTTGAGTGAATTCCAGAACGTCAGATTTTTGCTGAAATTGTGACCGCGCGGCTTAGGGATTTTTTCAGAAAAAGTTGTTCAGACGTCCTGGGCTAATTCTTTTTTCGATGAGAAAAACACACCAGTTTCCACCAAAAAAGCTTTCAGGGGATCGTTTGCAACAGTTTGGCACCATTTTTGAGTGAATTCCAGAACTTCAGATTGTTGCTGAAATTGTGACCGCGCGGCTTAGGGATTTTTTCAGAAAAAGTTGTTCAGACGTCGAGGGCTAATTCTGTTTCCGATAATAAAAACCCATCTGTTTCCACCCAAAAAGCTTTCAGGGGATCGTTTGCAACAGTTTGGCACCATTTTTGAGTGAATTCCAGAACGTCAGATTTTTGCTGAAATTGTGACCGCGCGGTTTAGGGATTTTTTCAAAAAAAGTTGTTCAGACGTCTAGAGCTAATTCTGTTTTCGATGATAAAAACCCATCTGTTTCCACGGAAAAACCTTTCAGGGGATTGTTTGCAACAGTTTGGCACCATTTTTGAGTGAATTCCAGAACGTCAGATTTTTGCTGAAATTGTGACCGCGCGGCTTAGGGATTTTTTCAGAAAAAGTTGTTCAGACGTCGAGGGCTAATTCTGTTTTCGATGAGAAAAACACACCAGTTTCCACCAAAAAAAGCTTTCAGGGGTTCGTTTGCAACAGTTTGGCACCATTTTTGAGTTAAAACCAGAACGACAGATTGTTGCTGAAATTGTGACCGCGCGGCTTAGGGATTTTTCAGAAAAAGTTGTTCAGACGTCGAGGGCTAATTCGGTTTCCGATGAGAAAAACCCATCTGTTTCCACCGAAAACCTTTCAGGGGATCGTTTGCAACAGTTTGGCACCATTTTTGAGTGAATTCCAGAACGTCAGATTTTTGCTGAAATTGTGACCGCGCGGCTTAGGGATTTTTTTTAAAAAAAGTTGTTCAGATTTCGACGGCTAATTCTGTTTTCGATGATAAAAACCCATCTGTTTCCTTTTTTTTATTTTTTATAAGATATTTATTGGTTTTACAAAAAAAAATTCCAAAAAAAAGCAGAATTACAAAAGTTCAACAAACAAAAAACAACAATAACCATGACAAAAAACAAACAGAAATGACAATAACAAGAAAGGAAAAAGAAAAAAAAAAAGAAAGCGAAGAAAAAAGAGCAGAAAAATTTAAGATTATACTTTCATTTAGCCTTCTTATCTTTACCTAGTTCTTTGACTTCCCCACATCTCCCCGCTTGCACTTCCATTTAAAAACTCCTTTCAGCAAATCCTTACCCTCCTTTCATTATCTTAACTCAAAAACTTAATCTATTTATATATAAATCTTTTTACAACCTTATCCATCAAATATTCCATACTCTTAATCACAAAGCTTTTGCCAATACCAGTTATTTTCAATCAGACTTCAATTTAACATTCATTAATTTTATAGTATTTCTGTAGATAGACTTTAAATTTCTTCCAATCTTCCTCCACCGACTCTTCTCCCTGGTCACGGATTCTGCCAGTCATCTCCGCCAGTTCCATATATTCAATTACCTTCATCTGCCATTCTTCCAGAGTGGGTAAATCTTGTGTCTTCCAATACTTTGCGATGAGTATTCTTGCTGCTGCTGTTGCATACATAAAAAAAAGTTCTGTCTTTCTTTAGCACCAATTGGCCAACAATGCCCAAGAGAAAGGCTTCTGGTTTCTTTAGAAAGGTATACTTAAATACCTTTTTTAACTCATTATATATCCTTTCCCAGAAGGCCTTAATCTTTGGGCACGTCCACCAAGTGTGAAAGAATGTACCTTCAGTTTCTTTACATTTCCAACATTTATTATCGGGCAAATGGTAGATTTTTGCAAGCTTGACTGGAGTCATGTACCACCTGTACATCATTTTCATAATATTCTCTTTTAAAGCATTACATGCTGTGAACTTCATACCTGTGGTCCATAACCGTTCCCAGTCAGCAAACATAATATTATGTCCAATATCCTGTGCCCATTTAATCATAGCAGATTTTACCGTTTCATCCTGAGTATTCCATTTTAGCAGCAAGTTATACATTCTTGAAAGTGTTTTAGTTTTGGAATCTAGCAATTCTGTTTCCAACTTTGATTTTTCCACCTGGAAGCCAATTTTTCTATCCAAATTATAGACCTCTCTTATTTGGTAATAATGCAACCAGTCTCGCACTCTATCTTTTAATTTTTCAAAACTCTGCAGTTTGAATTTGTCTCCTTCTTGTTCCAAGATCTCCCAATATTTTGGCCATTTGGCCTCCATATTGGACTTTTTAGGGCCTTTGCCTCCATTGGTGATAGCCACCTTGGGGTTTTATTCTCCAATAAGTCTTTGTATCTTATCCAGACATTGAACAATGCTTTCCTGACAATATGGTTTTTAAACATTTTGTGAGCTTTAACCTTGTCATACCACAGATATGCATGCCACCCAAACACATTATTGAAACCTTCTAAGTCCAATACATCAGTGTTTTCCAGAAGTAGCCAATCCTTCAACCAGCAGAAAGCTGCTGATTCGTAATAAAGTTTAAAGTCTGGCAGGGCAAATCCCCCTCTTTCTTTAGCATCAGTCAATATTTTAAATTTTATCCTAGGCCTCTTGCCCTGCCAGACAAACTTAGAAATATCTCTCTGCCACTTCTTAAAACAGTCCATTTTGTCTATTATTTGTATCGATTGAAACAAAAACAACATTCTTGGCAATACATTCATCTTGATGACAGCAATTCGCCCTAACAAGGAAAGCTTCAAATTTGTCCATATTTCTAAATCCTTTTTAATGTCCGACCAACATTTTTCATAATTGTCTTTAAATAAATTCCCGTTTTTAGCTGTCATATGAATCCCCAGATATTTCACTTTTTTTACCACTGTTAAACCTGTCTCATTCTGAAACCTCTCTTTTTCAATCGGTGTTAAATTCTTCTCAAGTACTTTAGTTTTAAACTTATTCAACTTAAAACCTGCCACCTGACCAAACTCTTGAATCAGTTCTAATGCTCTTTTCGTACTAGATTCTGGCTCCTGTAATGTCAATACAAGGTCATCTGCAAATGCTTTCAATTTATATTGTTTCGCTCCGACCGTTATGCCCTTAATCAGATGGTCCCTTCTTATCATATTTAACAAAACCTCCAGAACAGAAATAAAAAGTAATGGGGAAATTGGGCAGCCTTGTCGTGTCCCTTTCTCTATCTTAATTTCCTCTGTTATCACATTATTAACTATTAATTTAGCTTTTTGTTCTGAGTAAATTGCATTTATACCATTTTCAAACTCTTGGCCTACCCCCATCCCCTGAAGATTTTTTTCATAAAACTCCAAGAAATATTGTCAAAGGCTTTCTCTGCATCCACAAAAATCAAAACTGCTTTAGTATTGATCTCCTCTTGCAGCTTCTCCAGAATATCAATTATGTTCCTTGTGTTGTCCGAGAGATGTCTATCTGGAAGAAAGCCAGCTTGGTCCTTGTGAATCACTCCATTTCGCACTTGTTTAAGCCTTTATGCTAAAATGTCAGCAAAAATTTTGTAATCCACATTTAACAGGGATATGGGCCGGTAGTTCTTAAGCTGTGTCTTTTCAGTCTCGGCCTTTGGTATAAGTGTAATAAATGCATCTTTCCACGACTCTGGCGCTCTTTTCCCCTCTAAGATTTCATTACAAACCTCAGTTAAAGGTCGAATTAACCAGTCTTTCAAAGTTCTGTAATATTTTGAGGTTAAACCATCCGGTCCTGGAGATTTTCCCAACTGCATATTCTGAATGGCACCTTCAACCTCCTGTTCTGTAATTTTATAGTTCAACAATATCTTGTTGTCCTGAGAAATTTTTTGTAATCCATTGGTTTTCAAAAATTGCTCTATCTCAAATTCTTTCTGAGGCCCTTGTGTGTATAGTCGTTTAAAATATCTCTGGAAGCATTTCCTAATTTCTTCTGGATTCTGGATATTTTTCCCTTCCACTTCCAAATTAGTAATAGTATTAAGTTTTTGTCGCTTCTTCAACTGCCAAGCCAGCAGTTTCCCACATTTATTTGCCGATTCAAAAGTCTTTTGTCTCATTTGCTTAATTTTCCATTCCACTTCTTGATTTATCAATTTCATATATTGCACTTGGTACAATTTTATTTCCCTCAGAATCTCTTGTGAATTGGGCTTCACTCTCAATTTCTTCTCGCCCTCCTTTATTTTTTCCAAAATTTTTTCTTTCTTTACGTTTTGGGCCTTCTTCTTAATTGAATTCTGTTGAATCAGGAAGCCCCTCATAACAGCTTTGCTTGCATCCCAGATTACTCTTTTTCTACAGTTGTATTCAAGTTTATCTCAAAATAGTCCCTCAATGTCTTTTGGGCCTTCTTAATCACCTCTTGATCTCTAAACAAGGTGTCATTCATCCTCCATCGGAAGGAACCGATAGATGTTAACTTCATTTCCATTCTCACGGCGTTATGGTCGGAGCATGTTTTTGGGCAGATCTCTACCTTCTTAACCTTAGGTGCCAGTCCTCTAGTAGTCCAGATTTGGTCAATTCTTGTCCATGTCTTCTGGGCTTCAGAAAAAAAGGTTCCTTCTCTATCAAGGGGGTTCTTAGTTCTCCAAATGTCAATCAAATCCATATTGTCAGTTAGTTCAAAAATGTTTTCGGTAGTCTACCATCTTTAGTAACTACCTCTCTTTGTGACTTGTCCATATTTGTAGAAACCACCCCATTCATATCTCCCATGAAAACAGTATTATAGTCCATATAGTCCATCAAGGTCTCATGCAACTTTTTGTAGAATATAGATTTCCCCTCATTTGGTGCATATACACCTACTATCAAAAATTTTTCTCCTTGTACTTGAATTTCAATTGCTATGAATCTTCCTTGTTCATCCTTAAAGACAAATTTTGGTGAGAGGCTCTCCTTTGCGTAAATTACCACTCCTCGTTTTTTAACTTTGTCTGATGAGATAAATTCTTGGCCCAGTCTCTTATTAATCAATATTTTCCTATGGAGCCTCGTCACATGGGTTTCCTGTAAGCAAATTAAGTCCAATTGTTCTTTTTTAAGTATATGAAATACTTTCCTTCTTTTTCCGGAGAATTCAGACCACAAACATTCCAAGTTAAAAGTTGCAGAGCCATGATGATTTCTTTATTTCCCTCCAACTGCTCCCAATAACTCTTCTTCCTCTGTTGGTGGTTTCGGCTTCTCTGTCTTATCCTCTCCCAACGGTGGTAATGTAAGATCCAATCCTGTTGAAGGGGCTTCTGGCTCCAATCCTTTTTGTAGGTCCTCTTGGTAGTCTCTCAAAAAGTTCTGTTTCTCCTCCACAGATTTAATTTTAATTTTTTTGCCTCTAAAACTGAAAGATAGGCCTTGAGGGAACTCCCACCTGAAAAAAATTCTGTTTCCTCTCAGCAACGTCACCAGGTCTCGATAGTTAGACCTAAGCTCCAAAAGAAGCTTTGGAATGTCTTTAAATATTTCTATCCTTGAGTCTTGTATTGTCAGTGTATTTTGATAATGTAGGCTCAAAATTTTATCTCGTTCCTCTTTTGATCGCAGGGTAATCAGGCAGTCTCTCACTCTATTTTTCCTTGCTCTTCTTCCGAGCCTAAAAGCAGACGTTATCTTGAAATCTTCCTTATCATTCAATTGCCAAAAGTTGGCAAATTCTTGCGTCAGAAAGTCTGCCAGGCTCTCTTTTTCAATCTCAGGTACTGCTCTGATCCTTAAGTTGGTCTGTTTCTCCTTTAACTCCAGAAGAGATAACAATTCCTGGTGCGTTCCCAATCTTATGTGGTGCTCTTGAACTTGTTTAATTAAAGGTGGTAGTTTTTCTTCAGCAGCTACCGCCTTTTCTCTGGCTTCCAAAGCTGTTTTTGGGTTTCAGCAGATTGTTCCAGTAGTTTTTTAATCACATCTGTATTTTCATTAGTCTGTCGGGTCAACTTGTCAATACTTGCAGAGTTTTGTCTAATGGCTTCTAGAGCCTCGGCATTTTGTTGACCCAATTTTTCAAAACCTTCATTCACAATTTTAAATAAACTGGCCAATCCTTCTTCCTCCCCTTGTGGTCCAGCTATGGATTGCCTACGCTGTTGCTGTTGTGCAATGTTGCTCTGCTGCCTGCCTTTCCCAGACCTCAGATCTCTTCCTTCCATGGCACTTTATCTAAAAGTCAAGGTCACTCTCACAGTCAAAATTGTTTTGTTATTGTACTTTCCCAGGCTGCTGTTAGGTGGAAAATTCCTCAGTCAATTAAAGACTTTTTCCCTTTTGGCCTTCAGGGGGACACAAGTAATAAAGTATCAAAAATAAAGACTCTCAAACAGCCAAAGAGGCAACTTTTTCCCAAAGTTGTAAAACTGTCCCAAAGTTTCAATTTTGTAAAGTTAAAAGGCAAAAAGATACATTGTCCATTTAGAGTGCTAACAAAGTGTCCAATCTTTCCAAAACCTGGCAGTCTGTCCCCAGGGATTGAGAGGTGGTCTTTTATTTTCTTATTTGCTCTTTAAATTACTCAGAAATAACAGTAAATAACAAGAAATACTATCTCTTCTTCCCCCCCTAATCCAATTATGGGGGGGAAAATTTTACATTAGAAGTCTGTGTTTCAGTCTTTTTGGCATTCATTGGTATCGAACTCACACAGTCTTTGCTTTATTCTCTGTACAGACCGGGAGGTGGACTTCCTTTTTTACACCATTCCCGCTTCAGCCGAATAAGTTCAAAATTTTTGTTAATCCTTATAGCGTGAAACCTACTCACGGGTTGTACTTTTGACAGCCGAATTGTCAAGGAAGAAAGGTCAGCGCTCTCCAGCAACAGCTGCACGGCTTCACTCCGCGAAAGTAGCAGACGACTCACAGTGCCGCGCTACCCCCGTCCTGCTTCGGAGCCCCTCGCGGGGTTCCTTTGCCGTTTAGGGGCGCGCTCCAGGCACCCGCCGAGTCCCACGACCGCAGGCTTCCTCCGCCTGCGGGTTTCGGAAGGGTCTCCGCTGCGCCGTAGCGGATCGACCCAGTTTCCGCGGAGCCTCTCCTCAAGAGTTATGAGGAGATCGCCATTACTGTTGGCGCCGCCTCCGGAAGTCAAAAACCCATCTGTTTCCACCGAGAAACCTTTCAGGGGTTCCTTTGCCGCAGTTTGGCACCATTTTTGAGTGAATTCCAGAACGTCAGATTTTTGCTGAAATTGTGACCGTGCGGGTTAGGGATTTTTTCAAAAAAATATTTTCCCGCAATTTCAGACGTCGAGGGCTAATTCTGTTTCCGATGATAAAAATCCGTCTGTTTCCACCGAAAAACCTTTCAGGGGTTCGTTTACAGCAGTTTGGCACCATTTTTGAGTGAATTCCAGAACGTCAGATTTTTGCTGAAATTGTGACCGCGCGGCTTAGGGATTTTTCAGAAAAGTTGTTCAGACGTCGAGGGCTAATTCTGTTTCCGATGAGAAAAACCCATCTGTTTCCACCGAAAAACCTTTCAGGGCATCGTTTGCATCAGTTTGGCACCATTTTTGAGTGAATTCCAGAACGTCAGATTTTTGCTGAAATTGTGACCGCGCGGCTTAGGGATATTTTCAGAAAAAGTTGTTCAGACGTCGAGGGCTATTTCTGTTTCCGATGAGAAAAACCCGTCTGTTTCCACCGAAAACCTTTCAGGGGATCGTTTGCAACAGTTTGGCACCATTTTTGAGTGAATTCCAGAACGTCAGATTTTTGCTGAAATTGTGACCGCGCGGCTTAGGGATTTTTTCAGATAAAGTTGTTCAGACGTCGAGAGCTAATTCTGTTTCCGATGATAAAAACGCTTCTGTTTCCACCGAAAACCTTTCAGGGGATCGTTTGAAACAGTTTGGCACCATTTTTGAGTGAATTCCAGAACGTCAGATTTTTGCTGAAATTGTGACCGCGCGGCTTAGGAATTTTTTCAAAAAAAGTTTTCGAGGGCTAATTCTGTTTTCGATGATAAAAACCCATCTGTTTCCACCGAAAAACCTTTCAGGGGATCGTTTGCAACAGTTTGGCACCATTTTTGAGTGAATTCCAGAATGTCAGATTTCTGCTGAAATTGTGACCGCGCGGCTTAGGGATTTTTTTTTTAAAAAGTTGTTCAGACTTCGAGGGCTAATTCTGTTTCCGATGATAAAAACCCATCTGTTTCCACCGAAAAACCTTTCAGGGGATAGTTTGCAACAGTTTGGCACCATTTTTGAGTGAATTCCAGAACGTCTGATTTTTGCTGAAATTGTGACCGCGCGGCTTAGGGATTTTTTCAGAAAAAGTTGTTCAGACGTCGAAGGCTAATTCTGTTTTCGATGAGAAAAACACACCAGTTTCCACCGAAAAACCTTTCAGGGGATCGTTTGCAACAGTTTGGCACCATTTTTGAGTGAATTCCAGAACGTCAGATTTTTGCTGAAAATGTGACCGCGCGGCTTAGGGATTTTTTTTAAAAAAAGTTGTTCAGACTTCGAGGGCTAATTCTTTTTTCGATGATAAAAACCCATCTGTTTCCACCGAAAAACCTTTCAGGGGTTCCTTTGCAGCAGTTTGGCACCATTTTTGAGTGAATTCCAGAACGTCAGATTTTTGCTGAAATTGTGACCGTGCGGCTTAGGGATTTTTTCAAAAAAATATTTTCCCACAATTTCAGACGTCGAGGGCTAATTCTGTTTCCGATGATAAAAATCCATCTGTTTCTACCGAAAAACCTTTCAGGGGTTCCTTTGCAGCAGTTTGGCACCATTTTTAAATGAATTCCAGAACGTCAGATTTTTGCTGAAATTGTGACCGCGCGGCTTAGGGATTTTTTTAAAAAAAAAGTTGTTAAGACGTCTAGAGCTAATTCTGTTTTCGATGATAAAAACCCATGTTTCCACCGAAAAACCTTTCAGGGGATTGTTTGCAACAGTTTGGCACCATTTTTGAGTAAATTCCAGAACGTCAGATTTTTGCTGAAATTGTGACCGCGCGGCTTGGGGATTTTTTTTTTAAAAAGTTGTTCAGACTTCGAGGGCTAATTCTGTTTTCGATGATAAAAACCCATCTGTTTCCACCGAAAAACCTTTCAGGGGATTGTTTGCAACAGTTTGGCACCATTTTTGAGTGAATTCCAGAACGTCAGATTTTTGCTGAAATTGTGACCGCGCGGCTTAGGGATTTTTTCAGAAAAAGTTGTTCAGACGTCGAGCGCTAATTCTGTTTTCGATGAGAAAACACACCAGTTTCCACCGAAAAGCTTTCAGGGGATCGTTTGCAACAGATTGGCACCATTTTTGAGTGAATTCCAGAACGTCAAATTGTTGCTGAAATTGTGACCGCGCGGCTTAGGGATTTTTTTATAAATAGTTGTTCAGACGTCGAGGGCTAATTCTGTTTTCGATGATAAAAACCCATCTGTTTCCACCGAAAAACCTTTCAGGGGATTGTTTGCAACAGTTTGGCACCATTTTTGAGTGAATTCCAGAACGTCAGATTTTTGCTGAAATTGTGACCGCGCGGCTTAGGGATTTTTTCAGAAAAAGTTGTTCAGACGTCGAGGGCTAATTCTGTTTTCGATGAGAAAAACACACCAGTTTCCACCGAAAAGCTTTCAGGGGATCATTTGCGACAGTTTGGCACCATTTTTGAGTGAATTCCAGAACGTCAGATTGTTGCTGAAATTGTGACCGCGCGGCTTAGGGATTTTTTCAGAAAAAGTTGTTCAGACGTCGAGGGCTAATTCTGTTTCCGATGATAAAAACCCATCTGTTTCCACCGAAAAACCTTTCAGGGGATCGTTTGCAACAGTTTGGCACCATTTTTGAGTGAATTCCAGAACGTCAGATTGTTGCTGAAATTGTGACCGCGCGGCTTAGGGATTTTTTCAGAGAAAGTTGTTCAGACGTCGAGGGCTAATTCTGTTTCCGATGATAAAAACCCATCTGTTTCCACCGAAAAACCTTTCAGGGGATCGTTTGCAACAGTTTGGCACCATTTTTGAGTGAATTCCAGAACGTCAGATTGTTGCTGAAATTGTGACCGCGCGGCTTAGGGATTTTTTCAGAAAAAGTTGTTCAGACGTCGAGGGCTAATTCTGTTTTCGATGAGAAAAACACACCAGTTTCCACCAAAAAGCTTTCAGGGGTCGTTTGCAACAGTTTGGCACCATTTTTGAGTGAACTCCAGAACGTCAGATTGTTGCTGAAATTGTGACTGCGCGGCTTAGGGATTTTTTCAGAAAAAGTTGTTCAGACGTCGAGGGCTAATTCTGTTTTCGATGAGAAAAACACACCAGTTTCCACGAGAAAAGCTTTCAGGGGATCGTTTGCAACAGTTTGGCACCATTTTTGAATGAATTCCAGAACGTCAGATTTTTGCTGAAACTGTGACCGCGCGGCTTAGGGATTTTTTTAAAAAAAAGTTGTTCAGATTTCGACGGCTAATTCTGTTTTCGATGATAAAAACCCATCTGTTTCCACCGAAAAACCTTTCAGGGGATCGTTTGCAACAGTTTGGCACCATTTTTGAGTGAATTCCAGAACGTCAGATTTTTGCTGAAATTGTGACCGCGCGGCTTAGGGATTTTTTCAGAAAAAGTTGTTCAGACGTCGAGGGCTAATTCTGTTTTCGATGAGAAAAACACACCAGTTTCCACCGAAAAACCTTTCAGGGGATCGTTTGCAACAGTTTGGCACCATTTTTGAGTGAATTCCAGAACGTCAGATTGTTGCTGAAATTGTGACTGCGCGGCTTAGGGATTTTTTCAGAAAAAGTTGTTCAGACGTCGAGGGCTAATTCTGTTTTCGATGATAAAAACCCATCTGTGTCCACCGAAAAACCTTTCAGGGGATTGTTTGCAACAGTTTGGCACCATTTTTGAGTGAATTCCAGAACGTCAGATTTTTGCTGAAATTGTGACCGCGCCGCTTAGGGATTTTTTTTAAAAAAGTTGTTCAGACTTCGAGGGCTAATTCTGTTTTTGATGATAAAAACCCATCTGTTTCCACCGAAAAACCTTTCAGGGGATCGTTTGCAACAGTTTGGCACCATTTTTGAGTGAATTCCAGAACGTCAGATTTTTGCTGAAACTGTGACCGCGCGGCTTAGGGATTTTTTTTAAAAAAAGTTGTTCAGATTTCGACGGCTAATTCTGTTTTCGATGATAAAAACCCATCTGTTTCCACCGAAAAACCTTTCAGGGGATCGTTTGCAACAGTTTGGCACCATTTTTGAGTGAATTCCAGAATGTCAGATTTCTGCTGAAATTGTGACCGCGCGGCTTAGGGATTTTTTTTAAAAAAAGTTGTTCAGACTTCGAGGGCTAATTCTGTTTTCGATGATAAAAACCCATCTGTTTCCACCGAAAAACCTTTCAGGGGATCGTTTGCAACAGTTTGGCACCATTTTTGAGTGAATTCCAGAACGTCAGATTTTTGCTGAAATTGTGACCGCGCGGCTTAGGGATTTTTTCAAAAACGTTGTTCAGACGTCGCTGGCTAATTCTGTTTTCGAAGAGAAAAACACAACAGTTTCCACCCAAAAAGCTTTCAGGGTGTCGTTTGCA